GGCAGTGTATGAGCATCTTCGACGTGCATGCGCACATTTTGGACTGGGGATATGGAAGGGGGCCTCGACTACGACGATGGCTCTTTCGTCTCTGCCATATTGCACAGAGTCACGCAACGCTCGCAGGCTTACAAGGACGATTTGGAGCGATGGACATGGCGATGCAGATGCTAGTATGGATGGAACAAGCTAGTAGGTTTCAACCCAATTGGTGTTCGATTGTCTGTGGTGGAGATATTAATGGCTATGTGGGAGTACCTGCACCCACGTTCAAGGATGAGGCTGATTGCGATCTTCGGGGTATTCGTGCAATGAGAAAATGGCTTTCGTATCGGAAAACTGTGTCGCCCTGGTCTCTGCCTGCTGAAGGTTTTAGCATGTTGCTAAATCCAACCACGAGGGACCTGAAGTATAGGGACCAGCAGGAGGAGTTCGAGGCGTCAAAGACGGGATTCAAAGCTGTTCGACTTATTCATCGAATCTGTCCGTTCAGCAAGGCCATGATGCAACGCATCAGCCGGCGTGGCAAGGCAGCTTCTACTGAAAAGAAGTTCATGGACTGTATGCAGGGAGGCATTTCGCATAGGAGGCGTGAGGCAGCCATTCGGGTCCAACTTATCGCAAGCTGGAGGTTGACGCAGTTGGGCGCATCGCATGTTCTGCAGCAGGAGCAACACTGTATGAAGCAGATGAGAGATTTTATGGAGAAGCTCAACATGTGTCGTGCTAACACCTTTATGGGCGGTCAAGACACCTTTCGCGGGCGAGTCTTGAGGTCTCGCATGAATTATCTTGGCAGTCTGCGAGCATGCATGACAATTTCAATGGACTCATGCATTTTGAACAAGCGAGGACGACAACTTCAAATGTGCACTAGATATATTCGTCATGGCTCTCGGGGAGGACGTGCTCCCCGTAGCCAGTGGAACCAATGTACCTTTGTTCAAGGTGTGGTAGAAGGGCTCTGGTGGGAACGATGTCTGAAAGAAACTGAGGATTACTGCTGTCAGTATCTTTTGCGATGGAAACAGTACGAAGCATTGATTACACCCGACGGGAATTGGCAGCGTTGGGTGAATGAAGTTCAACAGATGGCTCATGGTTATTTCAAAAAATACTCAGAGGAGAACCAGAACTATCGACTAGATCGGCAACACAAATGGGACATGGTGAGACAATGGGCTATTTTGTGTAAAAATATGAGATCTTTTGGTGCTGAGATGCAGATGGTGGAGAGCACACGTTTGCAGCAGCAATGGAAGATATCCACCAAGGACCTTTACAACGCCAAGGAGCAGTTTCAATATGCAAAGATTGACAGCATCCAAGTTCGTCGTTCGTTCTATGTTCATGCGGTTGTGCCCATCGGGGAGCTGCCCAACATGTTGATCACCAAGAGCCCCATGAAGATGGGGTCCGAGCAGAAGCTAGGCCCGCCGCTGCGAGAGGGTTTTGAGAGGAAGCTCCAGAATTACCTGATCTGTCTGCTGAAAGGGGGCAAACATAAAAAGTGTTAGGCGTGAGGCCCCGAGGTGTTCTGAGGCCCGCTGGTAGCTGTAGTAGCCATCCGCTAGGCACTTTGAGTGACTTAGTGATTGGAGGATCTAGCCAGTTTACCTTTCAACGGGGGTGATTTCGGATTCAGGCGCCTGGGCTCCCCCTGCAATGCAGACAAAACGTAGGCTCTCCAAGGGCAAAGGGAAAGGTCGTGGTAATGGCCAGACATATGAGCTGGGGCCTATACCTGATCCTTGTGACGTTTCTCCGCTTGCCTCTGCCTTCCTGTTCCTTCTCGCCTCTCCCCTTGTGGTGTTGTTGTGTCTCCCTTTTCCCTCTCTCTCGCTCCGTGTGTGCTGTGTGTGTGCGTGCGCGTGCGAGCTGAGACGTTTTAATTCTCACTCTCGGGATCCAGTGCCACGGTGCACTATCTGGGATGATTTCGCTAGGCTTCTCGACCCTGACGATTTCTAAGTTGTTGTCCGATTAGAAATCTAGTCGCGACGGGAGTGCCGACCTTCGAGTTTCGCGAGGGGATCTGCCCTCACTATGCGCACAGCGGTCACATGTAATGGGATAATCATTGCTGACTCGACCAGATGCTGAGTACCACCACCACCACCTCCTCCTCCTCCCTCCTCCTCCTCCTCCTCCTCCTCCTCCTCCTCCTCCTCCTCCTCCTCCCTCCTCCCTCCTCCCTCCTCCCTCCTCCCTCCTCCTCCGAGCCCGTGCCCCCTACCGTTGTTCCCCCGGGGGGCCTTCTCCGGAGCGGCGGCGCGAGGGCGCAGAGGTGTCTGCGCGCCGCGCAGCGCGGGGTGCGAGCGGGCGAAGCTGGGCGACCTCGTCGGGCCTGTCCCCCTACACGGGGATTTTCGACGCAAAACAAAACATACCCCAAAAATAGTAAACAAATTGTCCAAACCTAGCCTGGGGACTATTTTGGGGGGTATTTTTAAATCTTTTTAGGGGTATTGCTGTTTTTTTCCATTATTTTTCGTCGAAAATCCCCCTGTTAGGGGGACAGGCCAGACGTAAGGTTTGTGCCTGCATGGGCCTAGCGACGGCCACTGCTGCGGCTGAGCTGCTCTGCGGGTGCCTCGCTGCCCTGGGGGCTCCTCTGTGCGGTGCTCCTGCTCGCCGGGGCGTCCGTGGCACGTGTGCGAGGAGCTGCCTCTGTCCATATGCCTTAAGTCGGGCCTGTCCCTCTACAGGGGGAATCTCCAAAGATAGTCGAAGAATAGTCCGAGGACTCTTGCCTGACCATCTCTTGAACATGTCTAGGGTATTTTGGAGGTATTTTTAGTTTTTCGTCCAGAATCGGCCTGTAGGGGGGCAAGCCCGACTTGAGCCAGGCCCCGTGCTCCCGTGGACATCGCTCGAGGCGGCGGAGAGCTGGAGAGAGCCGTCGGGCAACAGGGCCAGGGAGGGGCGGTAACCTTGCACGCGCCCCGCGAAGGCCACGAGGCTCCCGCAGAGCTTGCGTCGGCAGTGCGTCGCTGGTGCAGGCTCGATGTCTCGCCCCCCCTCCGTGAGCTCGGGACGATCGACCTGGGTACGGAAACAATGGGTACAGAGTCCAGCAGCAGCTCATGTTCCTTCTGAGCAGGGTTCGCTGTCCGCGTCGCCGCGGTCGCTGTCCATTTGGGACAGGAGGCCGCCTGCCCGCTGTCTGTTTGTTGACAGCATTTGTTATTGGGCCTCGAACACACGTTCTTCGAACCCATGTCTTTTCTTTTCTCGTCCTCCTCCTCCTCCTCCCCCTCCTCATCCTCCTCCTCCTCCTCCTCCTCCTCCGCCCCCCCAACAAAAAACAAGCATTGCCCCTCGAGAGGGGGCGGCGCGAGGAACCAGGCAGGGTCGAGCAGTGGCGAGGCGTCCTGGCTGGCCTACAGGGCCCACCAGGAGAATGTGCTAAGAGCCTTCTGTCGATGGTTCAAAGGTGGGGTCGTCGGGGATGGGCTCCTAGTGACGAGGTGCTCAGGTGGGTTGAAAGATGGGTTCAAAGATGGGGTCCTCAGGGATAGGTTCCTAATGACGAGGTGCTCCTAATGGGTCCTCAGGGGCGGGTTCAAAGATGGGGTCCTCAGAGATGGGGTCCTCAGGGATGGGTCAAAGATGGGGTCCTCAGGGATGGGTTCCTAATGACGAGGTGCTTGAAACCATGTACATGTATCTTCCCTTTGACCCCTTCCCATCCTCAGGACCCCATCCCTCAGGACCTCTATCTTTGAACCACCGAGGCTGTGGTCTGCGCGACATGTCTGTAGCACATGTCTGGCTGAGGCCGTCCTGGTTCAGCACATCGGGCTCACGTTCTAGAAACACAGCTTTTTTTCCCCCGAACATTTGGGGGGTCTAAGAGCATGTCGTGGTGGTCTGCGCGACATGTCTGTAGCACATGTCTGGCTGAGGCCGTCCTGGTTTAGCACGTCGGGCTCACGTTCTAAAAACACTGTTTTTTTCCCCCGAACGTGTGGGGGGTCTGAGAACACGCCGTGGTGGGCCTATAGTAGTGCCGGGGCGGTCGCCCCCTGCCGAGAAGAAGAAGGGCCACTCGTCGGCGGCAGGCGATGGGGGGGGGGGCACGAGCAGGAGAGCAGGCCTCGGCGGACGGCGGCGGGGCCCCTCGGAGGCCCCCATCGCGCCTCTCTCGAGCGAGGGGCCTTTTGTGTGCCCTCGGGGCAGGCCGGCCGCGCGCCGAGGGGGGGGGGGGGCAGGGGGGAGGGCTTCTTGGCAGCTCCTCCTCCCTCCTCACTCCTCCTCCTCATCCCTCCCGCTCCCCCCCTTCCCCCCCTCCTCCTCCTCCTCCTCCTCCTCCTCCTCCGCCTCCGCCTCCTCCTCCTCCTCCTCCTCCTCCTCCTCCTCCTCCTCCTCCTCCTCCTCCCTCGAGGGCGCGGGCCCGCGGACAGAGGTGGGGGAGGGCTTCTTGGCAGCTCCCCTGCTCCCTCGAGGGCGCGCCTGCCTCGGCCGCAGGCGCAGGGCCGGCGCCCTCGGAGCAGCGGCCGTCTTCTGAGAGGCCCTCCTCCCTCCGTGCACCGCACCCCCCTGGTGCGCGCCGCCAGGAGGGGGCTGGGAAGCAGAAGGGGGCAGAAGCACACAGAGGCACAATGCATCGTCGATCCCCAGGAGATGTTGGCCGCCAGGAAGGGCTAGGGATTAGGAGGGGACAGACACACACAGACACAATGCATTGCCGATGCCCAGAAGATGTAGGAAGATAGGGGCACTGGGGGGGAAGACCAAAACCCCAAAACGTATGGGAAACTATGGGGGATCGTTCTATCTGTGTGTATTTCTCTGTGTGTCCTGGGGCCCCTTCCGGGAAGCTCTTCGGAAGCCTCCGGGCCGGGCGGAAGATATATGGGAAGTGGGGGGAAGACAAAAAAAAACCCAAACTACGTGGAACTCTGGGGCATCCATCTCTTTACTTGTGTGTATTTCTCTGTGTGTCCTGGGGCCCCTCCCAAGCAGCTCCTCGGGAGCCTCCGGGCCGGGCGGCAGGACGCCCCGCCGCCTGCGCGCTGGCCGCGCCCGCGGGCGGCGAGGCGCCGCGCGCCCGCGGGGGGGGGGGGGGCCCGCCGCCGCCATGGCCGCTGCCGCTGCCGCGCCGCCGCTGCCCCGCCCCCGGCCCGCCGCGCGCCGGCTCCGAAGGAGCGCGCAGCAGCACAAGGGCTCGGGGCCCCAGGGGCGGGGGTCAGTGCAAACGGGGGTCAGGAGGAGAGGTGGAGGGGAGGAGGAGGAGGAGGGGGAGGGGAGGAGGAGTGAGGAGGAGGAGGTAGGAGGAGGAGGAGAGGAGGAGGAGGAGGAGGGGGAGGAGGAGGAGGGGGAGGAGGAGGAGGAGGAGGAGGAGGAGAGGAGGAGGAGGAGGAGGAGGGGGAGGAGGAGGAGGAGTTTTGTTCTTCACTTCTGGATGGATGGATGGATGGATGGATGGAACGCTGGAGGGGCTTTCACTTCTGGAGAGGAGGAGGAGGGAGGGCAGAGGAGAGGACGCGAGCCGTCGATGAGCAGTGCCTCACCCTGCTCACACGGTGCAGTCTGCGACTGCGCGACTACGGGCGAAGAGCGCCCGAAGCGAGGTGACACGAGCGGAAAAGTCTATTGACATAGAAGATTCCCGCGTCCGGCGTGCAGATGCCTCAATGCGATCGCGGCTGGAAAAAAACAGAAAAAAAAAAAAACAAAAAAAAAACGGCTCGGGGCTCAAGATACGGGGGTCAATGCAGACGGGGGTCACCCAGAGCATTGGATCCTGCAGGATCCTGCGAAGACCCCCTCTGACTGACCCGGGTCAGCGAGCCGCTCGTGGCCGCGAGGCGGCCGCGCAGATTGGCCGACCCGGGCTTGCGAAGACCTGCGTTGCAGTTTTTGTTCCCTGCATCGCAGTTTTTTTGTTTTCTGCTGACCCGGGTCTGGATTGACCCGGGTCAGAAGATCTCCGAACGGCACACGCGGAAATTGTTGGCGCTCCGCGCGGTTTTTTTGTCCGTTGTCGGCTCTCGAGCGGGCGCCGCGGCCGTCGTTTTCCAGGCTTGCGTTCGCCAGATATTGGCCCGAGGTCGCTTTCACGGAGCCCCTTTTGCGAAAGGGGGTATCTGTCCATCCCCGAAAAGAAGATAAAGCGCCATAAACATTCACTCTTGGCGCTCCGCGCGGGCTGCTTGTATCCGCACTGGGCCCCCCAAGCGGCGCCTCCGGCGCCGCACCTGGAGCGCTCCGCGCGCCAGGGAGGGGGGTCCAACGCGGATGCAAGAAATCCACGCGGAGCGCCAAGAGTTTCTGGTTATGCTTCTTTTTCTCCTGCAGAGGAGCCATAGCATCGCTCGGACGTGTGCATGTCTTTCGGCGGCTACCATCCCAGACATCGGGCGTCTCGGAAAAATCGAGACGGAGGTTGTTCGTCGTCTTTGGCCTCCCTGGGCCCTCGCCGGGCCTCCAGACCGTCAGAGCACGACTCGGGATGACAACGTGGTCCCTGGGAAGTGGTCGGGAGGTCGGGGGCCCGTGAACCAAGACGTCGGATGTCTGGGATTCAGAAGCATTACTTGATCATCGTGCGAGACACACACGCGCGAGACAAGAATAATGTACGGGGAATGGGCGTCCGAGCGATGGCGAGGAACAGGTGGTCATGATAATGATACCTTTCAAGACTGTTGACACATTTCCTAGGTTTCCACGGTTCACTTGCGTCCCGAACGAGGGCCGTTGGACATGTTCTGTAAATCCTCGGGCGTGGCCTGAGCCAGTCTTGTCATGATGTCGTGCTCGTTCCGTGCAGCCCATCATTCTCTCAGCCCGTCCCCTGGGCTTCAGTTGCGCGTGTCCACCTACAGGGAGATTTCGCGCGAAAAGCAAAAAACTGAAGCAATAGCCAACGATTGGGGAAACATAGTCATAACATCGTCCCCTGGTCATGTTTGGACTATTTTTGAATATTCCCCCTGCAGAGGGACAGGGCCGACTGAACCCTGGGCCCCACTGGCCTCGCCCGCGGGTTGCATCGACTCCCTGGTTTCGCGGCCTCCTCCCTTTTGCTGTGCTCCTCCTCCCCCTCCTCCTCCCCCTCCCCCTCCCCCCCTCCTCCTCCTCCTCCTCCTCCTCCTCCTCCTCCTCCTCCACTTCCGAACCACCAGGGCCAGAAGGGCAAAGGCGGTCGCAAGGGCTGAAATGGGAAACCCGACTTCACCAGTTGCGGCAACGTATCCTACGGAAGGAGAGATCACACATGCCCACTGAAGGTGTAAGGTCTCGAGAGTTCTTCCAGCAGCTTCGCTGTAGTACCTCGTCCCCCTGGTCTCTAGGGCGCGCCGTCGGGTATCTTTTTCTTCTTCGGCATGGTGTTTCTTCTCTGGGCCTCTGGGTGTCCAGGGAGCCTGCTCGGTGCTCTCCGCGCCGTCGAGCTCGGCCCCCAGGGGCCAGAGGGGTATCACCCCCCGCCCGCGGGTGTTTTCCTGTTTCCTGTCCTGCTCGGCTCGGATCAAAGGTGATCACAGCTGCACGGCGCGCCCACACGCCTGACCTCGTTCGGTCCGAGGAGATCGCACGATAGCTCAGAGGTCTCCCCGGGCGATCTTTCGTTTCGTTTGCTCGTGGGGTGAGTGAATGCAGACTCACAGCGCAATGCCGAGTCCATCCATCCATCCATCCATCCTCCTCTTCCTCCTCCTCCTCCTCCTGCTCCTCCTCCCCCTCCTCCTCTTCCTCCTCCTCCTCCCCCTCCTCCTCTTCCTTCTCCTCCTCCTTATCCTCCTCCTCCTCCTCCTCCTCCTCCTCCTCCTCCTTGCTCCTGGGGTCTTCGCCGACACCGGTCTGGTCGCTGGGTGTTCTATGGCCACGACCCTCACTCGGGTCTTCGGATTGGAGGCTTTCGACAGCCTTTCGCTCCCCCCCTCGGTCACCCTCGATGTGTACATCGATGACACCAGCCTCGATGGAGTTGGCAAGCTGGAGCCGTTGGTCGCTGACATGCGCCGCGCGGCCAGTCAGCTTGAGTTTGCGATTTCTCACTCCATGAAGGCTCACATTGCTCTTGACAAAGTTGGCATGGTTACCAGCAGTAAGGTTATTTCCAGTAGGCTCCAGGAGGCCTTCGGAGATCTCGTGGGTCCCCTCCTTGAGTCGGCTGTCAACCTCGGTCATGACCACACTGCTGGTACGGCTAGGCGCGTCCGTGGACGCAATTCCAAGACTAAGGCCCGCCTGCTGTCTGCCACGCGCCGTACGCGGAGGCTCGCCCGTCAGCGAGGCGTCATCGGCAGACGTGCAACTAAGGTTTTCTGTGCAGGTGCTCTTCCAGCACTGCAATACGGTGCGGACGTGCATGGCATGTCGGACGCCGAGCTGTTGCGAGTACGACGTCTAGCAGCTTCCACGATGAAGCCATCCTGCGGCGGCCGCTCTCTATGTATCCTCACTCGCGTTGAGGGCGATCCTGCCTGGTATGGGTCAGTCGCTCCTCTCCTCCACTATCATAGAGAGGTATGGCTGCTGCGCACGCGGATGACGGATTATACTCTTTCTTGGGCTCAGATCAGATTGGGTTGGGAAAGCGTTTGGAACAATCCCCCGCGTACCTGGAGATCTGTCAAAGGGCCTTTGGGGGCCATGTACTTGTCGATTGCTAGACTGGGATGGACCATGAGTTCCCCATACACCCTGACCGACGACCGCGGAGTGGAAATCCCTCTCCTCCTCATCTCTCCTGCCCTCCTCAAACGGCTCTGTAAGTCTGCGATTTTCAAAGCTCTTGAATGTGAGGCTGGAGACAAATATGGTCAGGGTTCTAGGCTTTGTTTTGACGTGCTGCGTACCTCTTTGAATTCGAAGAAGTACACTCCCAAGCAGAAGGGAATCATTAGAACTCTTACGCGTCAGGGCTTCTGGCCTTTTAGTCGTGCCAAGGCCCTGGGATACCAAGTTGAGGACAAGTGCCCTCTCTGTCAGGCCGAGGGCGACACGATGATCCACCGCCTCTGGCACTGCCCTTCTTGCGAGGCCGAGCGTTCTGAATATATCAAGCCCCAGTTGTTGAGCCGCGTCCGCCAGGAGCTTGAGGCTGGCGTCAACCCTGCTTTTAAGGTGCTTTGTGAAACTGGGCTCTTCACTCACCCTTCCTGAGGCCCCCCTCCCTCAGTCGGCCCAGGAATCTCAGGACTCGGTGGTTTATGAGTATTTTCCTGATGCTTTTGAGGAGGCTGGTCTGCCTCTTCCCCCTGAGGGGCGAAGGGAGGTTCGGGGCAAAGTTTTCCTGGATGGATCGTGTTTTCGACACCCCGTGCGTGAACTTTCCCGCTCTGGATGGGGCGCGGTCTGGCTGAATGACCAAGGTCAGATTCTCGTCCGTACGCATGGCACGGTTTGTAATGTATATCCTCAGACGAGCGTGGCAGCTGAATTCGTCGCTCCTGCTGCCGCCTCGTGCCTGATTGAACACACGGCTGAATTTCTGTCTGACTGCAAGGCGGTGGTCGATCATTTTGCCCTGCCTTCAGCCCAGCAGCTCTCGCCTGCCAGGCCTTACAGTGGTCTTGTGATGCAGTGCCTGGCGAATGCTGACGGCAAGCTCGAGGGCGTCTCCAAAGTGAAGGCGCACCTCACTGAAGATCCCAGCCTCCCCTGGGAAGAGATTTTCAACATTCGTGGTAATAACTTTGCAGATGAGGCGGCGAAGGCAGGAGCGAACCTTCACCAGCCTCTTGATGATGGCCTCAACGACAGTCTGTCCTTTTTGGTTTCTGTTTCCAAGGCTGTCGCCAACCTTGCCGCCCATCTCCTGGACCTTTGGCCCAGGACCAACCTGGACGGGGTCTCTTGGGAGCGTCCTCTGGCTCCTGGTCCTCCCAGGGTTCAGGGTCCTGGTCACACCTGGGGTTGGGCTGGCAAATTCTGGCAATGCAACGAGTGCCTCAAGTGCTCTCGTTCTCTCTCGAAGCCTCCGCCTGGGAGGTGCACTCAACAGCTTAAGGTTTCGCCCCAGTCTCTTAGAGATTTGGGTCACCGCTGCATCATTGTTGACTGCAGCGATGGAAGTTTTGTGGCTTTC